GTTGATTTACCTCTCATGGAGCGGTGCTATGAGTTTCTCCCGAAGAATATGTCCTTCATTCCGTGCAGGCTGTAAGTATTAGGACAGTGATATGTTTTTCATTGCTTTGGCTTTAAGCCAGGGCATTGAATTTGAAATGAAACACTTGCTATATGAGGCTGTGGCTGTTCACAGTGATATTAGGTGAAGGACTTTTTGCCTTTGGAGGGAATGGAGAGGGGAATGGAGAGGTATTTACAGAATGTAAATACCAGTAAGTTAAAGATGGAAGTGAGTGCATTGACCTCATGTTATTTTAATTTTATTTCAAACACAACGCACAGAATCACAAGGGCAAAACAAAACTGTCCTTATACTTACATGTGACACATTTTGGATGATATACAGTTCCGCCACTAAGGGTGCTTTCACACCTGCCCTGTTTGATTCAGTTCAATCAAGCTCATTTGATCTGGTCCGCTTGTAAATGCTGCCGTGAGAACACGTACCAATTCTAGGCAGTTATGCAACTTTGTCACAAAATTAGTCCCTAATTCGGACCAAAGCAAGACAACTCTAGGTCTGAACGCACCCTTTGCGTTCAGGGGTGGGGGGAATCCACCCTGAAGATTTTTTTGGAAACTTTAAAGCTAAACTGACCATGTTTGAGCATTTTGAGCAATATTTGAATATTGGGGTGAATGTGTCCCCCCAGTATATAGAATTACTGCCTAGTTCTCCAGTGCAATTTTTAATTGACAGTGATTTATGAGTGAAAGGTGCTTTTTTTTTTTTTTTTTTTTTTTTTGAACTGAGATCCACGGGCATACAGGGAAGATGGATCATTATTTAATAGCCTACAATACTGACAAAAAAAATCAGATAAATGTTTTCATTTCCCCAATGCATTGATCTTTTGCTGGTGGTGCCGACACAACTGTGATGTGTGTGCTAAGAGGGGGAATGTAAAAAACTGGATCATTAAACCCTTCCAGCTGAACAACCTTCATTGCATTGCTGTGCAAGTTTTTTTTTTACTTCAGGTACTGTACATTGCAGAATTTAATCAAAAAGGTGTAGTGGGAATAGACACCTTCTTTGGCTTATGTCAGCTTTGATATGAAACACAAGCATACCATGTGTCTGCTCTGCTTTTCCCCTCTGTCTGTGAACCTGCTGCTTTCAGCGCGCGCGCACACACACACACACACACACACACACACACACACACACACACACACACACACACACACACACATATTCTTATCTGTGAGCTGGCAGGGAAAATTCTCAGAGATATAATCTTTACAAGATTTGTAACTAGGAATTCATTGCATTCAGCTCTCAGTACGCCCCCTCCGAATAGCTAACATTTTACACCAATCTTTCCCTTCAGGGTAGGAAAAAGTGTAATGACGGTGAAACTAAAAGAAACAGGTGTTCTTCTTGCTATGGGTGTCTTTGAAGGTCCTGAGAGTTACAGAGAGATTGTGAATCACTGCTAATTGCATTAAATTATAGTTGTGGGGTGCAAAATGAACTCATTCTGGTGTAACTTCAGCCAGCACGGCTATAATGGTACTTTGGATGCCGTGAATTTTAGAATGACATGGGTATGTCTGGCTGTTACCTGAACAATGACTCTGCTTTGCTGGAAATGCTGTAGGGGATTTACAGAACGCTCACTTGATTACGATGATTAGGGAACATTTCAAGAACAAATTTTTTGATTTATTGTCTTGAAAATATGCCAACTCAGTTTCAGCTCCACCAAATTAAAGACCAAAGCAAAAATGTGCCACTTGGAAATTCAGATTAAAACCACAGAGCCAAATAAGGTCAGAATATATCTGGGTTTGGCTGGAGCGTCTGTTATTGTTTGTTTAAAGTTAAAGACTGTTGTGCGGCTTTCTGTACAAGCTCCTCTCTCAAGAGAAGATTTACTGAAATGATTTAATTACATTTTTAATTGACGGCATAGCCCCGTCTCTAATTACAAAATACGCATACTCTCGAGTTGAGCTGCTCAACTGAACGCACCAAAACAAAAGCATTTGCAACAGATATTTACACGAGGCGGCGGCCCCTCATTATTCAAATGCTTTATCAGAAAAGGCAGCCCCTGACTAAAGCAATTTAGTGTAGACAAATAAAAGTAATTTGTATTCTTTGACAGGCAAAAACCAATAACCAGGATGAATAATGTAAAAGCCAGCAGGGAAATATCTGACTGATAATAAATCTTGGAACTCCCTTCATAATGTTTCAGTAACTTAATATACTCTGTATCTTTAGTTGCTGATATATTAAACTGTGCATTGGTGGCTGCGCTCTGTTTGCAGAACACACGTCAAGCCGGTTATAACCTGATACAGTTATTCATGTAGTGTCTTTCAGATCCATATTGATTCACAGTATGTGCAGACTGAGATGTTCATCTTAGCAGTTTGACATCATGTTAAATAAGCATAGTTTAAAATAATCCATAAATGTCAAATTAAAGCACAAGTTGTTTCATGTTTTAATAATTAAAACATGCATTTCGTGATGCTAAGAGTGGCAGAATGACTTCAAAACTGACTCAACATCAACGCCGGTCGTTCTTTAGTGACACTGCAGCAAATCCACCTGTGTTTATGGCACTGAACCCGGGTGTTTCTCCCCTACACATTGCAGCATTTGAGCCAGCTAACCTGTGTTCCTTTTACTAACACATTGCAGCATTTCCCAGCTGCATTTGCGTCACTGAACCTGTGTGTGTTTCCATCAACCCATTCCCCTCTTCCAGCAGCTTTTGTGCCACCAGACAACCACATTTTACTCTGAAGTCATTGAAAACTGACACTTGGTCATTGACTCCCAGCATCAGACATCAATGAAAAAAGCCATCCTTTCACACTGGCATGATAAGCGGCTGGTCACCGTTATTGTTTAAGGACACCCGGCAGTGTCAGGGTGAAACATGGCTGGACAACAACAAAAGGTAAGGTGGTGGAAGTCAAAGTAGGGCAGGCGGGAGTGGTGCTGCTAGATGGGTCCAACAACCACAGACCTTCACCCAGGAGGCTGGTGTTCACTTCCTGTAAGATTGTTAAGCCAAAACCTGTTCTGTTTTCCTAAACCCAACCAGGTGTGCGTGTAAGCAAAACATAACAATGTGCATTTGTTGCTGAAGGAAAAAAGTCACAGTGTTGTACTGACATAGTGCATTTATTTTGAAAGCGACTGTATGCAAACATTTCCTGTGAAAATAGAAGTGTATTTTGAAAACAGACAATGTCATGTAACAGGCTGAAGTTGACACGGCATCCCCGAACGTCAACAACCAACACACCCAGGGTACTGTACCTTGCGCATCAGATCTCGACATGGAAAGTCCATGACCAGAGGTGGGTAGTAACTAGTTACATTTACTCAGTTACATTTACTTGAGTAACTTTTTGGATAAATTGTACTGTTCAGAGTAGTTTTAATGCAAAATACTTTTTACTTTTACTTGAGTTATATTGTTTTAAAGCAACAATACTCTTACTTGAGTACAATATTTGGCTACTCTACCCACCTCTGAGTACATAATNTTGAGTTATATTGTTTTAAAGCAACAATACCCTTACTTGAGTACAATATTTGGCTACTCTACCCACCTCTGAGTACATAATTACACACATATATATATGTACAGTATATATAAGAATATATTTGTGTTTCTTGTGCCTTGATTTATGTTATGTTTGTAAAGATATAATTTATTTTTGTTTTAGTTCAGGGGTATCGTTTAAAACACATGAATTTGCAGATTATTATTTTTGATTGATTACGTTCATGTTCTTATTTTACAAATAAATCAGACGTTACTCAACAGTTACTCAGTACTTGAGTAGTTTTTTCACCAAATATTCTTTTACTCTTACTCAAGTAATTATTTGGATGACTACTTTTTACTTTTACTTGAGTAATATTGTTCCAAAGTATCAGTACGCTTACTTGAGTACAATATTTGGCTCCTCTACCCACCTCTGTCCATGACCAAAAATCTATATGTGACAAGGTTGGAGTGAGAATGTGTTGCACCAAACGTGGGTTCTTTTTGTGCCTAAACCTATAACCACACCTGCACTATAACGTTACTAAGAAACATGAAGCTTCAACGTATCTGCTTGGGTTAGGGTAATATGTTTTATATATTAGTGTTGATACAAAATACAAGTTACCAATACAAGCATTGGTAGGTTTAAGTTATTAGCCCTCAGCAACTGGCTACAAAAGAGAGTCAACTGATGGACATCTGCTGTTGTGTTGGATGGGTCTGTCACCACAGTTAAACTGGCAGGCAGAGTTTTGAGTTACATCTGACACCCAGTGCTTTGACTCTGACTCTATTGTTATCAACCTCGAACTTTAACCCTATATTTAACCCCACCTCTGTCTGAGGCCTTTTTTTAAATCCCCTTTTCACTGCTCTTTATTCCTCTCTTTCTTAAAAATGTATACAATTTCTCTTCTCTCTTCACATTGGAATGTAATGCGTATATTAATGTGTTTTTTTAAAAGATAATATCCTAGACAACAAGGGCTAAATCGATAAATTCATGCAACCAATGCCAGCATATGTTTTTACCTTATTTCAACATAAAATGTTCCCCCAACAACTGTAAAACGTACAAATCAGAAATGGAATATCTGTAAGCTACATTTCCCAATACATAGTAAAAGTTACTCAACTGTAGTGTTGTTTCCCTAAACAGAAGTGGTTTCAGTGGGTTATCAAGCAATGTTTTGACTGCAGTTCTTTGCCCTAGGGTCATGCTTATTGCAGTCAATTGCAACATAAGACACATATTTCTATATATTGCTGTTACTTCCTGACGTGGACAGAAAATCTGAGTTGCTGCATGACTTTGACTCTGTTTTTTGTATCTTCAGAGAACTGAAAGCAGACTCTTGACTAACAGAGTTTCCTTCCCACTGAAGATTCACTTCTCTTAAAAGGCTTGAAGTTGGTCATTTATGTGCCAGTCATATTCTGAGTGGCAAATGTAACGACTCATCTTGACGGGGCTGCTTCTAGATCAGGGCTTTAAGATAAAATATTAGACCACAGACTGAGGAAAGTCAAAGTGATTATTGTAAGGATACCTTGATCTACCCTGGTACATCATGGCCTGTTTTGCTGTCACACTTGGTGTCATCATTCTGTCGGGATCCATCAATCTCTCAGCGGCAAACAAGGACACCTGTGATCTTTACGGTAGAGTTGGACAGGGTCTGACTCTGCCGTTTGTCTATGAGGGACTGGCCAGCACACATGTGCTGAGATGGACTCATAACAGCACCATCATTTTCTACAGACAACAAGACAGAGTGTCCGTTGGAAAGTCAGAGGACATCTCTACAACCGGATCTCTTTTGCTGAGGAACCTACAATTCTCAAGTGCGGGGCTCTACCAAGCAAATTTGCTGAATCCCAATGGTACACTGGCTAAAACATGGACCGGTCGTCTCTGTATGCTGGACAAGGTAGCAAAACCTCAAGTCACTTATGTGTGTGATGCCAAGTCTAGTGCTGTGAAGCTAAATTGCAATGTAGCTCAACCTCAGGGTTTGGTGTTCTCATGGACACTCGACGGGAAGACCTTAACAAGCGAAACAAGACAAACACTGAGCATATCACTGGCACAGCTTAAAGGGGAGAGGAGCTTCACATGTAGTGTGGCAAACAAAGTCAGCACAGAGAAGAGTGACACTGTTCATCCGACCTGTAAAAGTCCACCGCCACCACCTTTTCTCTGTTTTCCATCCAAAACTGTTGTCACAGTGCTGGCAGGAGGAGCAGGTCTGATTCTGATTCTGCTCACCATAATCATCATATTATGTTGCTGCCACAAACGAAACAAAACCCAAATGAGACGCAGGGACAAAGGGGAGCTGAGGATGCTTTCCCTAAGCAAACGAGAGCCGGACTCCATCAGCCCAGAGTATGAGACAATGCACCCGACTGGAGACTCTCCACCCCCGGTTCCCAAGTCTTCACCCAGAGCCTGTTACGTGAGTGTTTCTCAGCCCGAAGCTCAGCCTGAAAACAAGCCTGCACAGCTATCTACAGCTGCTGAGGGACAGCAACCTTCACCTGTGCCGAAGCCGAGGACGAAAGCTCCCCAGACACCAGGCGTCTGAATGTGCCTCTCCAGGACTCCTCCGGAACTAAGACAAAAAGGCATGTTTAAGAAAGGCACTTCGGAAAATGTTGTATTTTTGCCCACGGTTTTTGCACACACATTCTTTATGACTTTAATGTTTCAGATTATACCTATATAGATGCAGTCATTTGACAACTATCTGAACAATCTGTGTCTGAGATCAATAGGCTTAGTCATGATGTGACTCTTGACTAATAGAGTTTCCCTCCCACTGAAGATTCACTTCTCCTAAAAGGCTTGACGTTTGTTTAGTTTCTTATAAACTTCAAATGTGATATCACAACTTATCTACGCTGAAGTTTTGTTGTAAATATTTTCTATTTAGCTGTAGTGGTGGAGTTAAGGGTTGGTGTAGTCTGATCCCTGGTACACATTATAATAGAAGAAACTGTGATGGATGAATTTCAGAATTGATGTAATGTTCTAATGTTTAATATTACTTATGGTCCAGTCTGTTTATGTGTTTTATTATGACTTCTCTGACTCCAGAGCCATTGTACTTCTTTGTTATAAATAAAGCAATTTCCAGACAAAAAAGAATGTTTTATTGTGAAATACTTGATATAATAAATTAAAGGATATCGCTGGTGATATTCTATAATTTTTTATTGTCAACAAATCCCATGAAAAGGCCAAAACTAACGAAACATTATTCTGTCTTTCAGCACTTTTCAACTTCCTCAAACCTGTCTGCGGCTCTCAGCTCTGAGTTTGTTGATTCCAACTGGAGACATAAATCTTAGAAACAAAGATACAAATAGATATAAATACATACATCATACATAAAAATGATAATAATAATTTTATAAAACAGCTGAGCACTGTAGTTTGCAGGTTTAACAAATGTTTCTCAAACAAGATTAAACTGTGTATTTGATGGGGACTCATTTAGGCAGTGGGTCAATACACATTTGGTACTTTACCAAGTATTTACAGCACCGTGATTTGTCTGTGAAACTGGTAATAAAGGAAGATGTCACCCTATACGTCAGTGTGGCTGACTTGTTTTGAGACAATGATCGTGGATGGATTACTGAACGGGGCTACAGGGCACAGGCCCAGGGGCCCAGAGTGTAAGTGGGAGCAAATATCACCAACTCTAAAGCCTGGTTCACATTACACAATTTTCACCGTGATTTTGATGTCGCAGAGGATCTTGAGAGCCACCTTGGGTCAGAGGTGAGTCGGCAGATAGTCTGCCACGACAAGTCCTCCTGTGTGAACAAGCCTACGAGCAAGTCGGCCCCTCGTCTGAGGCTGGATATCTGACATGCTAGAAAACTGGAGAAGTCTGACACAACTGACAAAGAGCATCAGCCAATGAGAGGCGGGATACGTCCCACATAAGCAGGCAGGCAGGAGGACGGAAGAAATGTGAGGAGGACAAGCCGCAGGGTTGCCACTTGCCAGGTCCACTTATTAGCCGCAACTTTGGGCTTGTTTTTTTGTAAAGTTGCTTACAAACATTGGTAGCCAAGTTAAAAAACGTAGTTTGGTGACATCACCGCGTTATATGGGGCTCTGTCGGCGAGGGCTCGGTGGAGAAATCTTGTGGTGTGCACACACAGGTCATAACGCAGTTGGCGAGACTCCCGATGACAGAAACACACGTCGCCAGGTATGAACACTTAAAAGATTACAATAGTCTCAGTGATGCAAAATCAGGGTGAAAATCGTGTAATGTGAATTAGCCTTAACACGCACTGACTAGGAAAAGATTCAAAATGAAAGCAAAGAGATGCAGAAGAACCGGAAATAGACACAAAATGACTACAAAAAGGGGCAAAACAACCAAATAAGACACAATTACCTCAAAGAGACACAAAATTACCTCAAAGAGAAACAAAACGACTCCACAGAGATCCAAAATGACCCAAAAGAGGCTAAACAACTGTAAAAATGTGTGTTTCTTGCTCCTATGTAGAAAAGGTGTGGGTGCCTTTTGCATATCTGTGCCCAGGGGCCCATTGTCTAATAATCCGCCCCAGATGGTGTTGGTCTATGGCCCAGAGAAAAAGGTCTTTTTACAGTACAGTACAGGTTTTTACAGTATGTCTTCAAGGGGATTTGCTGATAATAAGAAAAACATAGAATATTGCCAGATTTTTCCTAAAGTTTGTTTTGGTATGGTTTGAGAACTTTTGTATCACAACAAAGATGTAATGGAAAAAAACAAATAGGAGGAAATGTGAACACTTCTTGACGTCCTCTGTTGAAAACTATTTTTGGCAGCTCCACTGATATCTGCACTTGTTTGTGTTTTCTGTATCATCCAGTAATCACACTGTGTTTATAAAGATGGTGTTTGACATAAAAATGGCCGTCAGAAATTATTTTATATCACGTATTTGTATGGAAAAGGCGAACTTATCTGTGCAAAACACAGCCCTTTGTTCCAGCTTCTTACATGTCAGCATTCTTGCAATTATTAAAATTTGCTTGCTTGCAAGAAGTTATTAAAGGGAAAAAAATCAATAGAGGAATGGATTAGCTAAGGCAAATATCTATTATCTCCAATGGGTAAATGGTAATCCACACATGAAAGTGTTTGCTGTCTCGCCTAATGCTGTGTGACAGCCACATAATGGAATCCCCATGAGCGTCATTGCCTAAAACTTACAAGCCAATGTCATCTTTTGTCAGGCCCTGCTCCACTCCTGCTCTCTTTACATGGCTGAAATTTCAGCCCAGCCGGCAGGGATTTGGCAGTAAAGCTGGTATCTGCTCCTGGAACAATGCCATTTGTCTTTCTTGAGAAGTGCTGAGACTTGGCTGGCAACACGCCCCGTCACTTCCCCTCACTGGCTAAAAATGTGCACCATATACATAGAGAGACTGATAGAGCAACATATATACACATACAGGCATACTGTACTCTTGCACACCAGGGACTATATTTCGAGATACAACTTAATGAAACACATCTCATATGCCTTTGCCAGATCTGTCCTGGAAACGGGAGGGAAATACCTCTGAAATGTGTTTAATCAGTGGCTCTTGGAGTCCAGTGGATATACCCTTTTGATCTTGGGAGTGTGTGTGTCCAGGAAAAGGGTCAATTACCCATGGAAAGTATTTATACTGATGTCAGATCATTCTTATTACAGTTCTCTTATTGTCACGAGCTGCCAAGTCTGGGGAAAGTACAAATCAGAAAATCAGAGGTCAGCCAGCTCACTGGCCTTTTTCATCAGATTTGACTGAAAATACAGAGATGATTATGACCTATTAGCATTCTTGAGCCAGTGTAGCACTCTTTGACCTCAGTTCTTTTTCTGAAACTCAAAGCAGTGAGTTAGTTAGAGACAATCTTCCAATCTGTCTTAAGTTTATTGACAAAGCAAAGCAGCCAATTGCTCTTGAAAATCAAACAGAGATATCCCATAATAACTTTGAATATCAAGTTGTTCAGCCTAATAGCCTTTAAACGTCATTCAGTGTGGAAAATGTGTAGAGGGCTCAGGCTGTGGTCTTGCTGAGCACATTAACATTGTATTAAACAGTGTTAAATCCATTTTTAAACGTACCATTAAGAATCAAATACACAGTATCTGTCAACACAGCAGTCCTATTTATCTGTTCTCCTGCATCTGAACACCTCGCAGTTTTTTTTTTTCCACACTTTTTTCACACCGCACATGCAATTTGTGGACTGGCTCTGCACGGGCTGTGGCTGTCTGCAACACACCAAATCAATTTCACAAATTTGCTGAGGAATCGGGATGCACTGATTTTTAATGGAGGCAGAATACTTTCCAGACCTCAGCGAGATTCAGTACCTCATGGACACTGGGTGTCTGAGGCCAAAGCAGCGCTCAGTGCGAAGGAGTTTTCTATCTGACTTAATAATACAATGTACCTTTGAACAGAAATTTTACGATCACCACTTAAATGGGTTGCACCAGCTATTTGTAATTTACTAAGTTTGTGTGTAAAGCTGTTATAAGGTAAGTAACTGTTAGCTGTAGTGTGTCTTAATAAATCAGGTAGGACCATTAAAACTGAGGAATGAATTTAGGTCATAAAAATCTTGAAGGAATTGAGGGAATGATTAATCAAAAGCACTGCATGTAAACAAAAAATCACGGCAGCATCACAAGCTGAAACATAACTTCCATGAACAGCACAGTAGCAATCAAACTCTAGCTTTGTCACTTGGTTCTGTTAGCTATGCAGCAGTTGCACCTGGCTGGTAGTTGGGTGTGAATGTGAATATTAAATAACAAATAATCTCAATGTAAGAACTAGTTTGTGTGGAGCCACCATGGATCCCTGATTCCTTTCTATGCAACCAGTTGACAAATCTCATTCTGCCTGCCTGCCTACTGTTGCTGCTTCCTCTGCAAGCCGCTTTGCGACCCGCCTCCACCCCAGCTCCTCCTTTTCATGCTGTGTCTGTGTCTTATCAATGACATTTCTGTTTATCATTGATGCTGGCTCCTGGTGGTATGTCTTAGGTTTTCCATGTAGGCACAAGGAAGGGCAGGGAAGTTTGCTCTCTCTGCCTTAAGCTTTCTGTGTAGGCCTAGGAAAGGCAGAGAGGCCCCAGGGTGGAGCCATACTGTCAAATATAATTCTGCAAATGGAAATAAAAATTTCTTTGACTAAAGTGGTCCTGACTTGTGATTTTTTGTTTGTGTGGCATCATACCAATGTAAAGTCTATGGGATGAGCAATAACACAACTATGATAAATCCATGGGTGCAACCTGTTTTAAAGGAACTCTACACAGCAATCAGAGCATATCTATGATTCAGAGTCTGGGCTGGGATTGCCTCCACACAGCTCTCAACATGGAGGTGGCTAGCAGTGTGGACCAACGTGCGCTAACATGGCAAAAGTGCTGACAGAGCTAATGGTGTTAACTTAGGGGGGCTCGAGGGTGGGCGTAACACTTCCGCAACAACGCCGTCCTGATACTGCAGGTCAGGATGGCACTATCTGTGGTAACTGCCGTACGAGAGCAGTGCAGAGTGGCTATTAGCTAGCCTGTTACAGTTACATGCATTAACATGCACACACAGCAGGATCTTCTACAAAAGAGAAGTTCAGATAACAACACACAGAGGAAGCGTGACTTCATTCTCTGCACAGAATTCCATTACTCAGCTATATCTTTACATAGCAAACAGTTGTTTGCTACTGTGTTATTGTTCCGAGTTTTATATAAAGCTTCTTTGATAAAGGAATATGTAAATCTCTATTCAGTGAACACTCCCCTAAATTTGAACTTTAAAGGATCAGGTGCAACTGCTTCCTGAGATTGCAAGGATTCATAACACAGTACTCTTCAGGTATTAATTTGAAGTTTTTACTCAAAAGAATAAAATGCAAAAACCACATTACATCTTAGCACAAAGCCCAGGGCTGCAGTGGGGTGATAGTTCACTCTTTAAAATAAAAGTGTCAAAGCAAAAGTTCCTGAAGAGAGATGTACTGTGGAAGGGATTTGCCAGTTTCTCCAAAAGCAGGGCAGACACTTGGAACCATGGGAGATTAAAGCCAGGACCCCCGACTGGGACAT